CAGGAAGATCGTCATCTGCTCTATATTCTTCAAGTGACCCAGGCGCTTCAACAGAAGACTCTGTTACCTTGGTTCTGCCTCTGGCTTTCGCAAAGAACCATGCTTTTACTCTCCCACTCTCAGTTGTTTGTAACTTTTAAACAGATAAACAGAACTTTTAATACGTCTGCTCATATGGTATCCCAACAGGCTAAATCTCAACCGTTAGACTTTTTTGAATATAATGTATACCTTGATGGGATAGCTCCAGTGGATCAGTCTGTACATATCTCTTTTAGTTAATTAAAAGTGCGTTTACCTTCAAAAAAATATATATATGATCTGACAACACATATTTCTTTCATATTTGTCATGGTTTTTAAAACCGATCTGGAGACCGAACCGGTCAGGGGTCCGGTTACCGGGTCCAATGGTCCAACCGTTCGAATCGAACAGTCAGTCCATTCTGACAAAAAAATTAAAAAATTAAAAAAATTAAAAACGATCAAAACCGCTCGAATGATTAACCGTCCAGTTTAGTGGTTTGCTGACCAAAATCAACGTATTTTTGACAAAATCCAGTTTTGGGGGGAAACGGAACCAGTTAGGTGACCAGTTCCTGGTTTTTCCAGTCCGACCATCCGGTCCGGTCCGGTTTTGGAAACCATGATATTTATAATGATCAGCCCAAAATGCAATTGCACCACAATGTCATTGTACCAAACACCCTATTGTCTCTAGCACTAGTAATTCGATCGAATATTTGATGGAACTGATACCTAGGGGTGTCAATTGGACTGGATTTGGTCCAATCCAATCCAGTCCAATGTGAGTCCATTATAAATGGACCAGGTCCAATCCAATCCAATGAATATTTTGGACCAATTCGGATCGGTCCAATTCAATGTCTGGACCATCCAATATATTCAAATTCATTTTGATTTAGATTGATTTCAACCCAAACCCAGTCCATTGATAAATATATTCTTATTTTATATCAATAGACCAAATATTGACTTAATCCAATCCAATCTAATATAAATTTGTTATAGATGGACCAGGCCCAATCCAATCTAATAAATATTTTGAACCAGATTAGTCCAATCTAATATATTTTATTGGTCCGTCCAATCCGACTAAATTAATTTTAGATTGGACGGGGTCCAATCCAAAACCCGTCCATTGACACACTTACTGATACCAATCTTTTCAATGCATGGTCAGTGCAATTCACAAAAGCATCCATGAAAATATATAATTCTCCTATACCATACCTTTTAAGGCTTTATTATCTTTCTTTTATATTTACTTATTTATTTATTTCCAAATTCATGATCGTATATCTAACTTTATTATCTACATTTCCTCAATTTGGGGTATCTAGAACATGAATATATTTGTTTTCATTAAAATCAACTATTCATTTTCTTATTCTGTTAATAAAAAATTATTAAAATAAAAAAAAGAAAGAAAGCAAGAGAAAATAAAGGAGCCCTTTGAATAAATCCACCAACCCAGAAGTGAAGACAGGCGTAAAGAAAAAAATAAAAGAAAGAAGTGAAGACCTATAAAAGAGAAAAATTAACATCAGGGCCCATGAGAAAAACAAAGCTGAAAAGAGATTAAAACAACCAATTTGATCCACCTCTACTTTGACACAAATTACTAGATTAAAACATGTTCGTTAAGGCTTAGTTTGGAAAGATTGTACAGTGCAAAACCTTGAATTCTGTATCATTAAACCTATATTTGCACCATACATATTTGTATTTGTACTTTTTCCAAACTGAGCCTATAAATAAAAAATTTGAGAATACATTTCTCTCTTTTTTATAGGTTCAGTTTGGAAGGGGTACAAATACAAATATGTACACTGCAAATAATATAAAATATAAGATTTTACACTTTAGAAATTTACATTTGTACTCTTTTTAAATTGAGCCTTTGGAAGAAGTATAAATACAAATTTGTAGAGTATAAAATCTTGCATTTTATGTTATTTTGTATGTATTTCTATTGTACATATTTGCATTTATACTTTTTCCAAACTGAGTTTTTAAGTACAAAATATACAAACAACCAAGCAACACATTCTATGAGAACAATATAAAAGGATGAATTGGAATTTTGTGTTTAAGGTTCTTCAACATTTCGATTTTAGTAGTATTTGGATTGATTTGGTTTGCCTTTGCATATGTGACAACTGGTTCTCAATCATCCTTTATGGTTCTGATGCAGCGTGGAAGTAATGGAAACCGGAGTTGGCTATGCAAGCACCGGGCGATCGCTAGCGTCTAGCGAAGAACACTGAATTCTCTAGGAGAGAGAAAAGGTGGCGAAACTCAAAGAAAAGATTTTGAAAAAATTCTGAAAATGTGTAGTATGAATTGATGAATAATTATGGGAAAATGACAGTATTTATAATACATTTAGAAATTGTAAAAGAACTAGGAAAAAACAACTAGGATGATCCAAATATCTAATCTGATAGGATCGAACTCTTTTTGGTTCGATCTCCACCGTCCGATCTCCCTTGATGCATGAATCTTGGATTATCTTGCTAATCTTGATGCTTCTTAGAGTCTTGTTGGTGGAATTCTGATCTTGATTTCTTGATAATCTTGAAAGAGTCTTGCTTTATCTTGATAATCTTGGAAGAGTCTTGCTTTATCTTGATAATCTTGGAAGAGTCTTGCTTTATCTTGATAATCTTGGAAGTTCTTCTTATCTTAACCTTATCCTAGGAGCTGCCGCCCCTAGGGGTGAGATGGGCCTTGTGATGGGCCTCCATCAGGTTCCCCAGTTGGTTATTTTCATTCTATTAGGGGTCTTTGACAACGTTACCTTCTCTCACCCAGTTTGTTTAAGAGATTTTGAGTAGAGGTTTGAAATTCATTTTTCAAATTGGTTTTATTCCTTATTTTGCATTACCGAGGGGTAGTGAGTTGGTCTCTCATAACCTTTTTGCTGTTGATAATATTATTTGCTTCTACAAGCAACAAGAGAGGCCTTCAAAATCTTATGGAGTTCATCATATCATGAGAAAGCTTCTGGCAAGCTATTAACAAAGAAAATGTCTTGCTTTATAATGCACTCCAAACTAAGAGCTCCTGATGTAAACATGATTAAACAAGTTACAGTTACACAGAACCAATTACCTTTCATCTATTTGGGTGCCCATATTGGTAAGGGTCTGTTTGGTTTGTAGGAATAGGGTCTGAAATCGGATTTCGAATTGGCTATTCTAATTCCAACTGTTTGGTTAGGCAGAACCGAAAACCCATTCCTATTCTTACTGGAATGGCATTCCCCCATATGAGGAAATGAAGTTCCATTCCTGTTGATTTTAATTTCCATTCTTATTTCCGTCTGAACCAAACATGCTATGGGAATGAACAAATTCCAATTTCAATTCAAAGTATTTTGATTTCGATTTCAATTCCAATTCCAATTCCAACTACAAACCAAATGGACCCTAAATATCCAAGAATTAGGGACTTTGAATCTCTTAAAATAAAAATTAAAAGAAAAATAGCTAGAAGGTTGGAAAGCAAAAGATTTCTGCCCGCGGGAAATAAGCTTATCTTGATTCGTCACGTTCTTCAAACTTTGCCTATTCATATGCCTCTCCTCCCAAAGCCATCATTCATAAAGTTCAGCAATTATTTGCTGAATTTTCTTTGGGGAGCATCACACCATTGGATTGGATGGAATAAGGTTTGTAAACCAATTAATGGAGGCTTGGTTTAAGTTATTACTCAACAGTACTTTGTGAGCCCAATTTATGCATTCTATGGATGTTAGAAACACTCCATTACCTTTGCTCACTTTACCTGGATCTTGTACCAGATTATGGAAGAGAGGTTTGTTACCAAGGAAATGGCGTTAAAGCACTGTCAGTGGATGGTGGGTAGAGGGGAGGTACCCTTTTGGTTTCACAACTGGAAGGGTTTCAGTCCACTTATCTATGAAGTGGAGGATTTTTTAATGTGACTGAATTTAAACTAAATTAGGTGCTAAAACAAGATGGTTCATGGAATTTTGATTTACTTAATGATATTCGAATTGTTTGTTGTTTGCTTTTTCAAATTCCTATGGGTATGCTACCTCTCTTCAAGCTGAAATCCTTTGCTTTGTTGGATAATAGTGGTATTTTATCAATTGATGTGGAGAGTGACAAACCGCCTGAGTCAGCGATTTGCTGATCAAAATCAACGATTTTTGAAGAAAATCTAATTTTGGGGAAAAACAGAATTGGTTACCTGACCAGTTTCTGATTTTTTTGGTTTGATCATCCAGTGCAGTCCGGTATTGAAAACCAAGCTATAAATTATTCTTTTTATTGCCCAAAAAAAAAAACAGTAACATTTGATGTGTGTTCACAACGTTAAAAAAAAAAATTGAGGCAAATTGTCTAAAACTCACCATGAGTTTTCAGCATTTCTCTTAAATTCACCACGACTTTTCAAAATGTCTAAACTTCACTGTGTCATTAACTTCACATTAAATAGACTAACGGGTGTTAATATATTACCAATTTAACATTCATAGAAAAATATAAAATATATACAAAATAAATTAATGGCATTAATATATTATCACTTTAATATTCAGACATGAAAAAAGGAAAAAGTTTAAAAATATTTTCAAATATAAAATACATAAAAACATAGAAATTATAAAAAATATAAAAAATTATAGAAATCTCAAACAAAATAAAAAATTATTTTCAAATTATAGAAACAATAAAAATTGAAAAACAAAATCAAAAAATAAAATTGTAGAAAAAGCACAAAAAATTATAGAAAAATTGAAACAACAGCATAAAATTGCGGAGTCCATGTTTTCATGAAAGAACCCGTGTTTATCGTTTAACCATTCAAGTTCGAGGACGAGTTTGAACCAGACAAAGGCCGAGAAGCTATAAATTCCATGGCAGTTCTCAAGCTCCAACGCATCACATCGCCGAGAAAGAAAAAGAAAAAACAAAAGACATCGACCAACAACAAAATACAAGCAAAATGAAGAGCCAATCTGTTGTTGTGCTTTCTCTCCTCGTTGCTTCTTTTCTACTTCTTGAGGGAGTCTTAGGTGGTGGTTGGACAGAAATTAAGGATCTGGATGATCCACTCGTCCATGAGATCGCAGAGTTCGCTGTGGCTGAACACAACAAGAAAGCCAACACTGATCTCGTGCCCCAGGAGTTGGTTAAGGGTGAAATGCAATCTGGTGGTGGCAGCACCACTTATCGGGTTACAATCGTAGTAAGGGATGGTAAGGTTAGCAAAAGATTCGAGGCTGTCGTCGGAGAGACTAACAAGGGTGTCAGGACCCTCACATCCTTCCAACAGGTTTAGACTTTACAGCTTATCGTAGCCTCATAGTCATAGGAGATAATGTTGTGGGGGAATTGAATGTCGTCTTCCTCCTTCAATTGCAACTTTGATATTCCTAATGCACGGCTGCATTTGCTGCTGTGGGGAAGGTATAAAAACGGATTTTGTGAGGACAAAATCCGGATTCCTATCTTCTACTTATTATTGTTTTTTATGAATAAAATTATTCACTATTCTTTTATTTGTTTTGCACAATGGTCTCATGTCTAAATCCGATTCAATTAAATTGGATTCGAAATATCAAAAATCCATTATTCTTGTTGGGTCGGATTGGACCATCCCACATTTTCTGCAACCACGGCCCAAGATTATTTATTTTATTTTATTTGGGAAAAAAACCACGCTAGTCTTGAATAAAATTCACCATCCAGTTGCCGCATCTTATTTTACAAATTAATGACAGTAAGAGGGAGGGAATCAATTTCGATTAAATTTTGTTCACCGCGCACCTAAGATACTCCCTCCCAACACCTAATAGGGGTTCGATACACAACAGCGGCAAATTAAAGCACCGATCTCTCTCTTTCTCTTCATTGCCAATACGTTTTGAAAATACATGGATACGTACAAAAAATATAGAAATACATATAAATTATATAAATACAACAATAAAATTAAATTTATAGTCAAATAGGCATATATAATGTATAAATATATAAAAATATATATTTAATATTGTACATAAAAACATATTATAATTAATATAATAGCAGAATGCATAGATATCATACAATGCATTAATTAAGAGTCTAAGATGAACCTATTATTTTTATTTTCTATTTTATCATTTAATAATTTATAAAATATATATAATTTTAACTTAAAATATATCAAATTAGTTAAAATTTCTAAGATATATATCATATGCAAATTCATAATTTAATTATTAAAATAATTATTTCATTATTAAAATTTTTATATTAATAACTTTTTTTGAAATTAAAAGTCATTTTTTATATAAATTTAAATTAGTGGATTTGATATATTCAATTTAATATCATATTCTTGAATTTCTTGTAAACAAATTTTTTATTTTTTGTAAATAATAAGTATATTATCATTTAATGTAAATTAAAAAATTAATTAATAATTATAATAATATATAAAATTTGTATGATATATATCATGTGCAAATTTATAAATTTTAAGTTGTAAGGTAATTATTCTACTATTAATATTTTATTTGTATAAATTTTTTAAGATTAAAATCATCTTTTGATGTAAATATAGAATTGGTAGATTATTTATTCTATTTGTTTATAAAATACTAATTTTAAATATTATTTATTTTAGTTTTTAGTTGGAGTTGATAAACATAAATATTGATTATTTGTTTTGATAGACATTAATAAAAATTATGTTACTTCATTAAATATTGCAATGCAAGACATGACTTAGTTGTTTTAAGGTGGGTTTAAAACTTTCAATGCCACATGGATGGTGTTTCGAGTTCGAATCACTTACACCATTATCATCATTTACATTTTTAATAGAAGACACTGCATATTGGTTGGTATCGGTGCGTATCGGCCAATACAACGGGCTGATATGCATCTGTACCGATCCGATACGTGCAACTTATAGGATACGTTTTCATTTATAGCGTATCCTATATCTTCTAACTCCAATACCAATGCGATATGCCCGGTATCAAATATATCGTGTCGATATTTAAATCTTTGCTTTTCATTTCCTCTCCACCACCCCTTATTCATTTTCTCTATATAAAAATACGACCACTGCAACCACCAATGTTGGTATGAGTGGCGAAAAATAATAATAAATAATAAAAATAAATAACTTCTACAGCCTACACCAACATGCTGGTCGAAGGGAAGAAGTTGGGATCCGCTAAGGATGCAAATTACGGAGAGTGTTTTTTGGCATGAGGGAAAATTAGTTGAAGAAGGAAATAATATTGGAGAAGTTTCCTAATATTAGACCCTGAGGAGCTTTCGATAACAGTTGAATATGCTGAATTGAAAAATTTAGTGTTTATCTTTAGGCAATACAAATAAACTATTCAAAGAAGTCGAAGTGAACATCCCTTTAAATGATTGCCTGTCAACCAAATTAGACACTCCCAAACAGGTAGAACCCACCTCGAAAAAAAATAAATTTATTTCAACCAAAGCTCTAACCCTCCCAAACTAAGGTTGACATGAAGCCAAACCAAAATTCTTACCTCAAGTTTTAATAAAATTTAAGTTATTTATTGAAAAGGCAATAATGATGATCAACTTTTAGATCTTTGCAACTATATAGTTGTAGGTGGTCCCATCTCCCAATGGCCCATGCCCTAAATTCAATTCTATCCAATACTTGAAGCCCATTACTCCCCTCTCCCCACTTAAATGAATCAAATGGTCCCCACCAACTTTTCATTCTTTCCTTGTTTAAAAAGGTACACTCCTTCAAAGTAGCCACGTGTCAACACCCCACAAAAGCAAGTACAAAATAGAAAGAAAAGCTTCACCCTGCTTTTTACGGACTTGCATTTATCTCTGCTTTCATGGTGGATGATGAGTTAAAAAAGTAGGTACTTTAGGTTCAAGTTTCATATATAAGTAATTTTCATTAACTTTGTTCATAAAATATAATATGAAAGCCATTTTGTAAAGAAGAAGCACTATCTGAATTGGTTCAAGAATTAATAGGAAATTTAATAAATCAGTAGGAAGGTTAACTATTAAAACCCAAGAGTTAAAAATAACTTGTCGAATTTCCAAAAGGAAAAAGATGTATGACATTCTTTCTGTAGAGTAATTTATTATATTTATCATGAGTCAATTTAAATATTAGTATTTAACTATTTTTTATTTTGTTATTGTTTCTGTAGAAAATTAGTCAAATTAATACAAGTAATTGAGCCAAGCTAAAAGACCTTTAATGCATGGGCACAAAAGGATTCCCTAAGCTTATTGAAGAGAAGGTTAGTTCTACATATTTACAATAATGATGATAAATTTTTTGTTTAGTATATGTATATTGTTTGAAGTTATTTTACCTTCATGTAGACCTGTTCATGGGCTGAGCTCAGGCTGGGCTTTCACTCTTCATTAACAGAATTTTTTCAGGCCCGAGCCTGAGCCTGGTCCAACCAACAGGCCTACAACTTGGGCCTGAGCACGATCCTCTTAAAAAGCCTGAAGCCCGGGCTTGAGCCTGATGTCCGACCTAACAATGATTTTTTTCACTTTTTATTGAAGATTGCATCCTGAGTTCGCTTGATTTCGCCAGAGTTCACCGGTGGCGCTGGTGTTCATTGGTGAGAATGAAATCATTGAGAAGATGGAACACACAGAGAGAGAGAGCGCAAACTCACCGCCGCAGTTCACTGGTAGCGCTGGTTCCTGAGAAAATGAAAATATGTGACAGTGCTCAGTGAATGAGAAACTAAGAATGAGAACTGCGAGAGAGACGAGAGAGAGAGAGAGCAGACTGCTTGAGAGAGAGAGAGAAGACTCACCGCTGGAGAGAGAGACGACCGGTGCCTGAGATCACCGGTGCTTGAGCTCGTGTGTCGCCTCTGAGATTGAGAATGAGAGTGAGGAGTGAAGAAGATGAAGATAACACTGTGTTGGGCTGGGCCGGGCTTTTGTGGCAAATCCCGAGCCCAGCCCGTAAAATAGTTGGGCTTGGGCTTTTAGGCCTGAGGTTAAGCCCGCGGGCTAAAGACTTTGTGCAAGCTCGTTCAGGGGTCGGGTCGGGCCGGGCCGGGCCGGCCCGTCGGGCTACCCAGCCCTGAACAGGTCTACCTTCATGTTGTTAGACAAAAAAGACCCATGCAGTGATGGAAGCATTGTAAATGAAAAGGCAGCCGAGATTATTGTAAGTACTTTCTAGTTATGTTTTTTTTTTTTTTTTTCGAAAAAGCCCATAGGCAAATCATTCATTCATATCATCAACAAGTACAGGCAAAAGGAAATCAGGAGGATTCGACCAAGTAAAGGTCCTTGAGAGATTACAAGCAAATTTAGTGATCAAATGTGCTACTCTATTGCTTGCACGAGGCCTAAAGGAAATAACTGAAGACTGAAAATCTTTCAAAAGGTCCCTGCAATCAGTGATAATGGGAAATAACCGCCAAGGGAAATCCGGACGGTCATTCAACAGGGCTTGGGCTACCTTTTGAGCGTCACCTTCGATCCAAACATGACAGATTTTTAACGCCTTGGCCATTTGAATTCCTTCTCTGAAAGCGCAGGCCTCTGAGAACTCTGTATCAGATAAGGGGATGTTCACCGCTCTTCCAAATAAGAATTTACCTTTGTTGTCCCTCATAACCTTTTGATATAATGATGACTGGATCTAAATGTTTTTTTCTTTTAATACCATGTGTCCTAATGAGTCACCTAAGTGATGCTCTTGTTGGTGTCCTAAAAGAAATCAAAGCTTGAAAACTTATGGGACTGTCTTTATCCAACCTTTTGATATTCTCAAATATCTGGATACTAATATGATATCCCAATGGAGTATAATTGGTCCTGATTCATCTTCTTTGTCTGGAAAACAAATAATCACTAGGCTCAATGAAGACTGCCACCATCAAAACCATAGATAATCAAGAACAGAATGCAGTTTTGTCTATATACAAAATGAGAAAAAAAATACTAATCTACTCTCTAAGAAGATGACAAATTCATACTGTATAGGAGACATCGGGGCAAGGCAAAAGAAAATTGAACTTTGATGGCTTCTGCTTAGGCAACCTGAGCAGATTAGAACTGTAACCTTTTTTGATAAATACACTCTTACTGTAACTCATAATCATATCTTTGGTGAGGCCAACATTGCAGCTGACTAGCTGGCCAATTGTGGTCATGTGGAATCCATAGATAATTCCTGTATTCCTCATAAGGAATGTTTCAACACAAGAACAAGAAAAAGAAATATGTTTTGGTTTTAACCTCCATAAATTATATTAATCAGCAATTATGTTTTGGTTTCCCTGCAAAACAAGAACAAGAAATAAATAATTCACAGAAAATATATTAGCATTCATAGGTTGCACAGACTATAAACAGCAATGTTTCAACACAAGAAAACTCAGTCATATTCAAGTAGATCTGTTAAAATGATTTAACCAACTAATAATAAATAGATAAAAACAATATGTTTTATGTAAAGATAAGATGCAAGGTGAATTCTCCTTGTTCATGAACCGCATGCATGGAATGCATTAACTTAGTCACACTTCATTGTAAGGCTATGGTTTCTGTAAGATGAATATGACTCTTTTCTCCTAATTCTCAGTCTTCTTTTTGGTAATTTTAACATTCTGCTGGATTTCTTGATGCCCATAATATGGTTTCCAAGGGAATGTGATGCCCACATGGAAAACAAAGCAAGGGGGTCCACAAGAATGAATTTTGAAGTGGCTTGGCTGCTCAAGTTGCAAAATTGTCCAGAGTTCTGAAGATGCTTTAATGATATTTGTGGAAAGGAGTTAGTATATGAGGAAAAAAAGGAAAGAGCATGGGAGAATAACTAGTATAGTCCCACTACTAGGTTTCAATCTTCAAGAAGCCTTACTACCTAAGAGAAGTGGAAAATTGGAGTCTCACCATTACTAGAAAGAAGAATCATTCTCATCCAAGCAACCTAGCTACAAAGCTCAAATCTCAAAATTTTTAATTTAATTTGGTTAAAGGGTTATATTGACCATTTATTGGTAATACTAGTAGGGGTGGCAAATTTTCATCACCCAACCCACCCATTTAAATAGTTTGGATTGGGTTGGGTTGTGGATAACCATTGGGTTAACCATTACAGACAAGTATTAATTCCTTAGCCTTTTTTTTTATTTTCTTCATTTAAATTAAATAATTTATAATTAGTGCATTAATTTTCTAATAATTATTGACTAAATTTAGTTCTGTCTTGAATCAACGCACTTCACCCAACATAAATCCAAATCAATTTGACCCGAGTTCGGACCAACACACTTCACCCAGCATATATTGATTCGGGTCGACCCAAATCCGAAATAGACCCCCGGGCGGGATGGTTCAGTACCGCTTTCTCTACCCGATTTGGGTCATCCGGTCCAACCAGTATTCACACAGCCCTGACCCGACCTGGCACAAGTCAATCCGCGTCGACCCGAATCCGAAATAGACCCCGAGTGCATGTAATGTGATTTGAACCTTCATCACTTATGTAAATAGTAACTACAATTACCATCAAGCTATGACCAACTTATTTGTTAAGAGAGAGTTAATTTGTTTTTTAAGTCCACAAATATAAGATTAATGGGTTTGGGCAAGTTGAATTGAGTTAAAGCAGGTTTGGATTGAATCCAATCCATTTAATTTTATATAACTGAGTCATTAATGGATTGGCGGATTAGATGGATTGAACCCGCCCAATTGCCACCGCTAAATACTAAAAAAGGATGCCGTAACATAGGTAACAAGTTATTTATAAAAGGATAAACTAAGACATATTTTCTTAGAATGTCATTCTACAATATTCCCTTTAGATTCTTTAGTAGTCGCATTCAACTAGGTCATGAGTTAAAAACTTAATATGGATTATGGATCTTGAGTTTTTGACTGTGGAATGGCAGAAATGACTTATTCCCTGGGCTTAACACAAAAGTCTTCTCATGTTTGAGGCTCAAAGGCAATATAGGGGTATAAACATGGGGGACTATATCCCACCCTTAAGGCTGCATGAACTTATTTTCTAACAATATAAGCCAATTCAGGAATGACAAAACAGGATTCATGTAGCCAACCCCATCAATTTCAAATGCCATGAAAAGATAAACTGAAATGATCTCTCTTCATGTTCCATCCAACATCGATGTAAGTAAATAATCTCATCCTGCTAACAAAGTAATCCAAAGATCCATCTTCCAACATCTTTATCGATATCCACAACTCTTTTTAATGAGTGCAAGGGCAGTGCCATGAACATCTGAAAGTAGATAAAATGGAAATTTTTTTAATTGATTGATTTGATTTAAAGATTAAAATATTTGAAAAACTGTCATTTATTATAACTAATAACCTTACATGATATGATGTTGCTAAAATACTTTGATTTTAAGTTTTCAGAGAAGTATAAAAACACAATGCAGAATTCTGAATTACAGCCTCCTACTATTAACCCTCTGTCCCTCTATAAACCACATCATGGTGCATTCCCCCTATACTTTGGGGCCAGGCTGATTTATACTTCTCCCTTAAGTTTTATGGCTGCACAAAAGTCAAGGCAAGTACATTACAACAAAGTTCGTATAGCGGCGGAATTCTTAGCGGCACTAAGAAAAACGCCGCTATATATTTGTCATCCGATAAGAGAGACACCGAAAAATAAAAAAAAGGCCCGCTAAATCTTCTCTCCCGCGCAAACAAATCCCGTAACTTCTTTCGTCTTCCCTCAAACCTCACCAGCAAAAACCCTTTCACATTCTTCTCTGAGCATATTCGCATTTCCCTATTTTCTTCGGCAGCTGAGAAGCATCAAACGAATTAAGAGGTAAGTCACGATTTTTCTCTCCATCTTTCATCTTCTTCCTCTCATTCCCTCTCTCTCACACACATTTTTCTTTCATTCATCCCTTTTTATACAGCAGACCATCAAACCTTCTCTTTGCCGATTCTAGGTTTTCAACCCTCTCTCCCTCATCTCTTGTCACTCCTTCGGCAGCTGGGAACCAAACTGAACTCATCTCTGGCGAGGTAAGTTTTCATGCATATGTATTATTTTTTTGTTTGTTCCTATTGGTGGCGTGACAATGGAGTAACACCGTCCCATTGGGTTCCGATTTGAAGAACCTGTTGGAGACGAACTCCAATGGATAAAACCTAACCCTTCTCTATTTTGGTCTGTAAAAGTTGCTACTTGGATTATTTCAGAGGTGCCAGATCCTTCTCTTCTAGATTGGTCCAAATATCTGTTAATTTGCTAGCAGATAGGTTGTCTAGGGAGGGGATGAAGAGATGTGAGCTTTATTGAGTCCCAGTCCTCCTCGAGTATTTCTTTTGCCTTTTTGTATTTCTGAGACATTGCTTGGTTCCTGCCATGTATTTCTGGATCACCTTAATTTTTTGATGATGCGCATAAATGAAAACCATTATTCCCCCATTTAATAGTGTAGGTTGCATTCAAGTCAATACCTCTAAACTAGGGTTATAACATTATCCAATCTTTGTTTCCATTGTGATTTAAAGGATTGTATGAGTACAGGAATGTGTGTGTGTGGAGTAAAAGGCAGGAGTTTTGTTCTTATCTTTTTTTTTTTTTTCTCTTTATTTTATAATTCTTTCAGTCTATAGGGTTCCGCTACCATTTCTTTTATTACTTTTTCATTACTTCACTTGGGTGTCTATATGTTCTACATACCCTTTTATGTTTGTGTGGTTAATTTTCTGCCTTGGTTTTTCCTGATTTTTTCCCTCAAAGTTATTGACATTTCTATGAGATAGGATTCACTATTGATTATTTTTAGGTATATTTGAATCGGTTGCTCATGTTGGTCCACTGAATGATGCTTATTGACCTGATATATGCTTGTTTCTATTTTATAATATAATATCTACTTGTGTTAGTCCATACATTTGTGACGTTTTAGAACTAATTAAATATCTCTTCAATTTATGAGTTCTGATTTTCTTCCCCAAGGAATTCACCTAGTTTGAGAAAAGCTCAATCCAACAGAGCTGAATGGCCTTGTGCTGGTGCACACTATTGATACGTAAATAGAACATGCTCTTAAATTGGTGTTTCAATCTTTCTGTCCAAAATCTCCTTGGACATTAGTGTGATTCTTTTTAACTGAAAGCTGCTTCTGAGTTACTACTTTACTAGGGCATGCAACTACTGAATTAGAATATGGGGTAGATGATATCTTTTATATTTGGTTTGATTTCCCTATTGTTGAAACTAGTTTATTGAAATGCCATTTATCATTTTGAGAACGAACTTGAGGGATCTGGTCTGACAATGGGAGCACTGGAGCACACCTTCCAAAACAAGAAGCGAGTTGGATATTTGAGGTGCATAAGAAGAAATAATAGTACCAAGACAAACATATTA